TCGAGTAAACCTTCCGATAGCCGAGGTCGTTCAGATGGTTGCCGATGGCCATATGGGTGACTCCAAGTGTAGTCGCCGATTCGCGAGTGGTGGCGTTCGGCTTCGCGTTGAGGGCGTTCCGCAGGGCTTCGTCATCGACTGTAGATGGACGTCCTGAGCGTGGTCGATCCCCGAAGGTCGTGTCACCAGATTCCAAGCGTTTGAACCATCGAGACACCGTGGAATAGTGGACGACGTTGCCCTCGAATGCAGCGCAGATGTTGTCCGTGGTGGCTCTCGCAGAGTGTCCTTGGAGGAACTCGTCGTAGACGATGGGTCCAAGAGTTGCTCGTTCGATCGGAGCCATGGCTGCCAACTGATGGCAGAAGCCGCCTTATATACCCCGAGGTCAGAAGCTTCGAGAACATTCCAGCATATACAAATACAAAGCCCCGCCCATCATTCCTTTGAAAATTTTTATAAATAGTTTTAGAAATTGTTGCAAAACTTTCTTTCTAACGCAATACTTTCGTCCAGCGGCGGGGCAGCTATTGGCACTAGCAGGAATGGTAATGACTGACTGTGGGATTCGACAAACTGTCGGCATGTGGCATAAGAACGTCTCTGGGTGATTAGTAGTATCTAGACTGAAGGGACTCAAGAGAAGAAGGAACACCCTGACTTATCGCTGCCGAGTGTGGAATCAATTATTCCTGGCTAACCACACCTTGACTCTGAAATGGTTAGACCAGAAATAACGCTTTACGATGAATCCGGTGAGTCTTTACTTCCCGAACGTCCTCAAAGGCCACGAACCTCATTGGGCCTTTGTGACTCGCAACCGTCCTGATCGTTTACAACACATCTGGGGCCTGTCCCACAGAATATTTACTAGTTACAAGCTACAAGCGACAAGTACAGGGTGTTAATGAAGTGACAACCTTTGAGCATTTTTTGCAGGGACGACCCCACATATTCAAACAACTCGAAAGAGTTGTGCTGTGTGCCAGATTCATTCTCACAGATGTTGGCGACGATGCAATTGCAAGGGCTCATAAGTGTTAGGAAATCTGCTATCTGCATATTACACATTTTCTTAAGAAAACTACTCATTTTCATGCTTTTTAAAATCCCCAAAAATTCCAGTATTCAATCAATACCCTAATGATTATAAGAATTTGGTGCAATTAGATCAAAGGAAAGAAATGTTCTTCTAATTCAAGTCTACATTCAAACGAAGAAAAAACATTATTAAGCACCATATCCTGGTGATTGGATGAAAAATCTAAGAATGTTTCGAGGTTGGTATGTTTTCAGTCAAAAAAAAAACATTTTTTAAATGGCTACTTCAGTGGATATAACAAAGTTCGAGCTCAGGTACAGATCGGCCATGCCACCGGCCCCGATAAATCTGGAATTATCTTCATCACCGCATCCAAACCATCCAACTTTGAAATGAATAATGACTGTCATCGGTATGCCAAAGGCATATTCTTAAAGCTCCGAACAACTTGAAGACGTTCTCTATAATGCTGGAAGCAAGCAGAAGTTTTAGTTGCGGAATGGCACCTCAAGCAAAAAATGTTCTTGGAAAAGTCCCGCTAACCAAAAATTGATTTTTCGAACCAAAAGTCAGGTCGATCCTGAAGCAGTGTGTCGAGGAGCGGAAGCCATCAAATCTCGACAAACCGGACAGATTTATACTTGGAGAATATGACGGAATGGACTTCGCCACTCTAAATCATTTGGTCGAGTCGATGAAAGCGTGATGCTTCACTTTGATTCACCCGAAGGGAGAGAGTATCAATTATAAATTGTGAAATTATTGTACATTGTCCCATGCATTACCCGTGAATAAAATTGCCTGTGATATTCATCATGTAAAAAACTAGTAATCCCAATAATGGACCAATATATATATATTTCTATGGTAGGCAATATTGGATCAATATCGGATGCTAATGTATATATTTCCTCATCATTGGCAATAAGGACAACACTTGCTAGTTCAAGACTTATTTATCTTAAGGATATTGTGCCTCTTTTACTAAGATGAAAGTATATTCACTTTAAAGGGAAAAAAGTTCCCGTGCTCGCTACTCTATCCTTCATCTTCAAACAAAGCGAAAGTGCTGAAAGTTTGATACCGCATTGGCGGAAGGAGCACGAGAAAACTCATTACTTTGACTCTCCATCTTCTTTATTCATTTGCTTGGGGAAAGACTACACAATGCCCATTTATTGTTCTGAGATGAAAGAGAGGCTGTCAGACTTTGTGGCTGTCGGTACATACAGGGGTGAGCATCGATTCTTAGGTCGGAGACTAAAGTAGACGAGCGCGACTGATGGGATACAACAAAGCGGGAGTGAGGTGCCCTTAGCCTTCTACCGGCCTTCATTTCCATTCGAGAATGATCCCAAAAAGCCAGGTGTCCAGGGTATCCCCTTAGCAAAATAGGAATAGGAATGGTCTTGGAGCAGAAGGGGCGCGACAACGATCCCAGACATAGCAAGTCCCGCCTCTTCGTGTCAATGTGTGGGAAATTCCGATGTGAAAACAATGTCTTCGAAACGGGACATCGCTGTGACTCAAGCACGAGAAAAATGTTCTCGTTCATTAATTAATAATCACACGCTATAGGTTATAGACCAGAGAACGTTTAGCATTATAGTCATTAATGAAATAATTAATTCTGTCCTCCAAGTGGAAATGGGAATGCCTGTACAAGCAAACCAAAGTTATTTTTCTTAAAGACATCCAGGATTAACTCGGAAAACTATAGTCAGCCACTTAATGTAAAAGTGAATTTTTGGAATATGCAACTCATGATGAGCTAAAAAAAAATACGTAAAAAGAGACGCCAAATCATATTTCCTTGGAAAGATGTCAAGCTTACCTTTCTTATGACACAACTCTTGGCACCGTAAGTGCTCCGTTACATTGAAAAACATGCAACCAAGATGAAAACCAAAATTTTCAGATTTACAGTTGACTTTTTCTCTATGTAGCAGGTAAAAGTGAAATTGAAGACTTGCTTCATCGACACACCTGTAATTGGAGTGCAACTTACTGTAAGGGGAGATTTACCTTTTCATTTGAGATATTTTGGAGGGGGACATATATGCCTAATTTTCACATTTCTAAGCTCAACTATGATGCCAAAATCTCATTCAAACTATGATGCAAGGATAT